TATTATTTTTTATTTTATTTTATTTTTCAAAATTGGTAAAAAATTGTTCAGTTTATTTGTCTGCATACCATTGTTTTTTTCTCTGTTTTTTTTTTTTTTTTTTTTTTTTTTTTTTTTTTTTGACCGTACCTGGTCCTTGCAAAACAAGGTGACCGGGGCAGCCCGGCTGGTAGCCAAGACAAAAACATAATTTGGCAAGTCCTTGGAATATAAGGTACCAAATGACGAATAAAGGAGACTTGGGGATGGACCCCACTGCCACACGGAAAGTTTCGGAAGAGTTTTTCTGAGACTCCACTGCGTGCTGGAAATTTGGGCAAACCATTGTGTTGTCGTTTCTACTCTTCCCTTTTTCTCTCTTTCTTTTTCCCCTTCTCTTTCTAGGCATTCCATTCAATCTACTTTCATTAAAGATTGAACTGAGGCTTCGGGGGTTTACAGATGTTTAGGGTCTCGTTAGACACTCCTAAAAATGCCTGTTTTTAGGATTGCATCGTCGTTGCACGCGATCCTAAATCCGATTTCGAGATCGAAAATGTGAAAACGGCGTTAGGACGAATCCTAAAGAATTTAGGATTCTCCGGGCAAATTCATCCTAAATTTTTCAGTAGCCCCCGACCTACTAAAATTTTTAGGATTTCCGCGTTTGACGGAGTCGTGGCGACGTGAGCATGGCACCGTTGTCTTGACTTCTGGTGCACCCTATTGGCTGAAACCCTGAAGCATGACTTTTTTCTTTTATTTTTTTTCTTTTTAATTACGATTTTCTTTTAGGACTGATCCTAAACGATGGTATTTTAGGAATGCGTGTAACCACGACGCACGAAATCCTAAAAAACGTTTAGGACTGTCCTAAAAATTTAAGGATTCTTTTAGGAGTGTCTAACGAGACCCTTACTTTGACAATGCATTGATGAGCTATTCCATGAAATTCGGAGATATATAGAGCCACTGGGTTCGATTGTTAACTAGATGGGACTCTTTCCCGAATGCAGTAAATATGAGACGCATATTGAATGATGGGTACCTGTCTGGGGGCACCTGTTCAGTATGATTTTTGGCCCATTGGCGTTTGGGCCTTTTCTGTTGAAGATCCCTCAGTTTTGGGTCTGCAGCCGTGCCGGCTGAACCACTATTTTTGTGTCTGGGTGGGGTTTCTTTGCCCCTGAGGTGACTCGTTGAAGTGACCTGGTCTGATATTGGACCTCGTTGGGTCAGGTTTTTTTTGTTCTGGTGGTAGATGATTTGGACTCTTTAGTTGGACCATAGGAATAGACTAGAGTAGTCGTAGTGCTACGCAGCTCCTATATATTGAGTATGCACAGTTACTTTTTATCTCCACCATGACAATAGACCCCTGACGTGTGACGCGCAACCTCATGCCCTGTGCTGTCTTTCGTTCGGAGTGCTAGGTGTGCGGAAAGAGGCCCAGAAAAACAGCAAGATGGGGTGTGCCAATGATTTTTGGAAATTGAGTGTGGGGACACAGACGGAACTGAAATCCCCCGTGTTGGTCCGATGAAGTAAGTCGGTTGCTTTCGCACGTCGCAGAATGCGCGCGCGGGCACGACGCGAAAAGAGAAAAATCCAAATTCAATCCAAAAAGTATTGTCGAGCTTCCCACCGCGCTACGGCCCGTCGTTTAGAGCGGAAGGGCTTCGGCACGCTTCGCGTGTCTCATTTTCGGATCAAATCCCGCCGTCATTTGCTGGTCAGTTCTAAGTCTGACGTGGATGGTCTCAGCCATGTGGCTCTTTCTTTATGCTCGTCTTCACTCCGCACACGGTAGTGGAAACCCCTGGATTCGTAGCGCTCAAAACGTTGACATTCGGTGCATAGAGTGTGCAGCCAGTGGGGTTCTACTGCCGTCCACTGGATGACAATCAACTCGTTGAATTGCAACAATATCGAGTAAGGTGGAAAGTGCGTATCGATAATGACAAACCCAGCCTCTACGAACCCTGAACAACGATTTGCCGGAGAGAAGTAGTACCGTCCATCGATCTGTGCGACAGCTTCTCGTACGTCCCACTCGCATACAGGTGTCCTTTCCTCGTTGTAAGGAAAAGGCCGTGTTGATACGGGAGGTATGGGAGGCTGACGCCCGATCGGAGGGTGCTTGTCAGTCCACATATCAATTAATTGCAAAAACCTCGAGACGTCATCAAGAAAAGAAAATACTCGCGCAACCCCCAATCAATCCTTTTCTACACGAGAGAGAGAGAAAACACTCATCAGCTTGATCATGCGGCTTGGGTTTAGTGAGCCAACGCGACGTTGATCTGAGGCGCCTTGTTTCTCGGGGCTGTCATGTGGCTCAGGGGCTGTTGTCGTGCAACATAAGGCAGATGGCATGCGCAGTACATTCACAACTACAGATCTAAACACTCTTGCATTCTCGAACAAAATCCCAACAACAATCATCTAATCAACGGAAAGAGACGTGGATCTCCATACATTCATTCACTGTGGTCTGTGGAAGGTGCGAAAATGAGATATACGCAGAGACAAAAAGAATGGATCGGAACAATACACACGCATCCACCATTCACAAGACAAGAAGACGGGGTTTCTGCATAGGGGGACTACCCAGGAAACTAATGGAAGAGTTCCGGAAGAAGTTCTTTCACACAAAGACATGATGCCGACTCATTCCCATTTAAGAGAGAGGGAGAGAGAGAGAGAGAGAGAGAGTGAGAGAGAGAGAGAGACATCATCATTCAAGGATAGAGGAGAAAAAAAAAGGGGGGGGGTGGACTGAGGGAAGAATGTCGAGAGAGAGAATGACGAGATCCGAAGAGAGGAAGTTTGGCATTGTCGCCGTACACTCACGCCAGAGGTAAAGATTCACAACCACAAAGGCGCATTCGCCGTTAATTCCATTATGGCCCCGGGGCCCGAGGCAATCACTCACTCAACTCCACTTCATCGATCCTCATACCCGCACCGACGATCCCGGCCGTCGCGTGCTAACTCCCACCACTGCGATCGTCACCCCGCTGAGGTAAACTCGACGCGGTCCGCCTTGATCCTACAGTCCGTCGTGGCGATCCAGAGCGCAATCGATCAGCCTATCGTCAGCCCGACAGGACTTTTCGACTCGCACCAAACACTCTGCCTAGCCACTGCTTCCCGGAAGCTGGCTTGAGAGTCGAGAACGTAAGAGAGCTTTGTGGGCGCGTTTGCGGAATTTATAGTGACGAGAAGGGGGGCGAGGGAGAGAGAAGGCAGGGGGAAAGTCGAAGTGTAGGGAAAGAAGCAGGAGGAGAAGACTTTGAGAAGAGCACTCCGCAGAAGCCATGTTGATCCTTCGAGACTCAAGGTTCAACCAATCAGATTCGTCGCGCAATAGGAAGATCCTATTGATCCACGCACCTGATTGGTGAGCGGGAGTTATCGAAGGATTGACCTGGCATCGTGTGCTGGACTCAGAGGGTGAGAAGAGAAATGGCGCGAGAAGTAGCGCAAGACGGGTCCAAGATTCAGATGATCAAGAAAGGGAAATGGGCGCGCAAAAAGCAAAGCGGGAGAGAGAGAGAGAGAAAAACAGTTACGAGGAAAGAGAAAGAGGAGGGAGAAAGGGGAGGGAGCGATGCGGGGGACAGAGAGGAGAAAGCTTTTGCATGTGCGGCGCCGTCAACAAAAAGAGAGAAAAAGGCACCGAAACAGTTACAGCTTGCCTCTGTCCTAATTCAAAAATTAAAATCACCATATCTGCGCGCGAAAAAAACGACACGGGAAAAATCCTACGCCTATTTGTATTCGTACAAAATTTCGAAAGTTTTCCCCAACGCGACCAAGAACATTCACACAAAAAAAAGGATGCGTCGAAGTTCCGCTTATCCCGGAACTCCCAACTGTCGGACCCAATTCCCAGTGCACTCGTTAAGGCGCACGTAATTTCCTATGTATTTCCTGCATTGCAAAAAAGGAAAACCAGAACCCGAGAATCAAAAAAAAGCTTCCAAAAGATGGGGGGCAAAAAATGTGGCACCCGAAACCAAAGAAAAACGAAGCGGGGTTTTTCTGGGGTTAGTATGATACAAGCAAAAGCAAGGGTACGAATGATAGCACGGGTTCGGGAGGTAGTTCGTCACATATGTGACGCGCAGGGGGTTCCAAAATTATGCGATCTCCTGATCGCATGTCATGGCGGAGAAAGAGAGAGAGGGGGAGAGAACAGAGTGATGCATGAGGAACCAAGCGTATTAACAAGTAATCCGGCCAGAGTCCATGTTGATTCGAACTTCAATTGCAATCTTCTGTGGGCTCGTGCTGCTGGAATCACCGATAGTTATCCATGTGACGCCATCATCGTCCGTCGGTTCTCCGTGTGCTCTGCACCCCAGTTTATCGCTACCCGTCGAATCAGAGCATAGGTTGACGTCATTGTCGATGGCGTGATCTTCGCGTAGCTTACTGATTCGGACCATTTTCCTTTGCCAATTAGATGAAGAGAGGAGGGGGAGGGGGAATAGTCACGTGATCGGGATCTATCTCCTACTAGTTGGAACCGGCCAGTAGAGTCGGTACATGGAGGGGATCTCATGGGGACGACGGGGAGGAAGTGGGGGAAGGTAGCGATTCATCCCTTCCATCATCACCGGGAGTTCCTCATATCGGATGATCCGGTGGAAGTGAGGGAAGTGATCGCCGCTGCGAGGGAGGGAGGCGAGGTAGTCGCGATAGAAGGAGGAGAGGGTGCGAAAAAGCGCCGCTCGAAAGAACTCGTAGTGGCAACAGGCGGGGATTGTCCGCGTGGCTACGCAGTAGACTTCTACCACGTTGCATCGTTCCCATGCAGCGCTGAACAGTAGGATATGCCAGCAGAACGTGGGGGCAGCGGGCTGAAGGGATGTGTGGGGGTAGATGGTGGCGAGTAGGCAGGTAGAGTAGAAATCGCATAAGAGATGGGGGAGGAAGGGATGGAGGGGGAAGGTGACGGGGGTGCGGATCTGTTCGAGGGTGAGAAAATCAAGGGGTCGGCGGGATAGCATCCGAGGACGAAGGCCTATCGCCCGCATCGGTACGTGGACGAACTGGGGGACGGGTGGGGCTGGAGGAGGAGGAGGATTAGCTCCGTCTCCGTCGCGCGGCACTTGAGGTGGCGGCTGCAGGGTTGCCATCTTCGGGCTTTGGCGGCTCCGGATCTCTGGTCGGATCGTTACCGATGCGCAGGCTGGCTTCGCTAGCGAACTCCAGGTGGCGTTTCCCGACGGCAATTTCTTCGCGTTTTCGCGCTGCTTCCGGATCTTCCGCCTCCGTGCCCGTGCGCGCCGCCTCCTCTGGCAAGGCTTCCCACTCAGACTCGGTTCCTGCTTCTCCCTCCTCTTCTTCTTCACTCAGCTCGCCCTCGCTATACTCGCTATACCTTCCTTCCTCCGATGTTTCCTTGTCTTCGTCCTCTTCGTCGTCGTCGTCGATCACCACTTCCTCTGCCCTCGGATAGAGGGCGTGAGGGATGATATCGTACGGCTTCAGATACTCCTGCCGCGACGGCAGCGTATCTTCGTCCCTGGGCTCCTCCAAGCACGCAGTCCACTGAAGATATGGATCCAATGACCGCTCGAGAACGTGCGGAGCAGGACTATCGTCACTCTGCGAATAGATGTCGGGCGAGAGGTCGTCCGCCAATTGCCCGATCGGCGTGATGAGCTCCTGCGCAATCAGCTGGCGGCGCCCCGGCTGTACCGATCCAAAGAGAAAGCCAAGAAGGTCGCCCTCCACGTTAGTCCTCCAAGCTTGGATGATCAGCAGCTCTGGATTTTCGATCCACGCAGGATGCTCGCTGGTCTACGTCCACGTCACCTGTACTCTGGCCAAGTAGAAAGACAACTCCTCAAAAGTTTCGCGCAACAGCCTCCAATGCCCAGGATTGATAAAAGGGACTGAAAGAGGCTCGAACGAGAAGGAAAGAGAAGGATGAAGATTGGATTGCCAGAAGGTGGGGAAAAGAGAGGGGAGCGAGGGGATCGGCGTGGTTCATTGGGGACGTGGGAAGGGTACGAGGATGGGGATCGCAAAGGGTCGCTCGCGCGGAGAACGACGAATATCGCCAAGATCCGGTGGAAAGATTGGGATGAGGTTATACCCAGGTCGGGCGAGGACGTGCTGCCACACGTTGGACACCTGCTCCGTCCACTCGCGCAGCGAGGTCAAGATCGCGGTATGCCACTGCGGATTGACCGAGCTGATGTCGCCGCTGAACGCCGCAACCGTGGTGACGTGGCTCGTTCTGGGAGTTGCTCGCCGATGAACTGCGATCACCTCCGCAAATACTATTGCGTGAGGAATCCCTTCGATTCGAAACGCGGCGGCGGCACACACACCCACGTCGCAGTAAAATTACGCCAAACGCCGAAGATCCGTATTGAGCCGAGGGTGACAAACTTGCCGAATCTCGGAGATGTGGCCACGTGGCTGCAACAACTGTACGTCAAGAACCCGCTCCGTGATGAAACTCATGGCGACGCGTGTCTCTACCCCCTGGTTCGACAATTTTCGAGTTACCCCGGTAGTCGACACAGGGGAGGCTATTAGTACGAAGCTGAAAAGGGGTAAACCCCGTGGACTCGTGAAGGGCGGCCCGGTGGATCCCGACGATCTGATATACGATCTCGGGCCACAGACGCGTGTCGTGTGCCGCTAAATTCCTACGAAGGGCGGTTTTAATCATACGGTTGGCATTCTCAGCCAACCCGTTCGACTGGGACACATGGGGTGCCGTATGTCGGAGCATGACGCCCCTTCGTGCGAGCAGATCCTCTACTTCTCCCTTAAATTCGGACCCATTGTCAGTTAGAATTTCTTCCGTATCTAGATGTTTATAGAGGAACCGATCGATGTACGTAGCTATTTCTGTGGCTTTGCGGGTCTTACAAGGGTAGACTTCGATGTACTTGGAAAAATGGTCTATTAATACTAACAGGGTAGAATATTCACAGCGGTTTGGGCCAGGTGGCACGTCGATATCGGTCGTGTCCATACTGACTCGCTGGAAAGGACGCTCTACTTTCGTTGGTACTATCGTGTTTGGTCCCCGAATTGGGGCGCGATCAGCGGCACAGACCAGACAGTTAGCGACAATGTACTTAACATCATCTCGTATATTGAACCAGAACCATCGGTTCTGGTCTACTGTTGCCTCCGTGACACGTATCGCGAAATGAGCGGCCTGTTCCTCGTGAGCAGATCGGATCCAATCATATCTCTGGAATGGATGGGGAACTGTCAACCACGACCCCGATCCGTCAGTTTTACACTTTTCCAAATGATTGTTGATCCATCGATAGTCCCGAGATCTCTCGGTTGCCCTACGTCTGTCGTGCTTGGTGAGGTGACCCAATGATAATCCCGCTAATTTCGCTAGTAAAATTTTATCTGTCCAAACCTCCGCTCGTCGGTATTTTTCGTCGTATTCAAGGTCGTCCATACGGGCGGCCTCGAATCGAACCTCCGTGGGGAGTTTGTTCGTTCTACACAGGGGGCATCTCCATTCTTTGCTACTCGTCCGATATCGAACGCAGGCCCCGTGCGCACGATTGACACACGTGGCACATTCTACCCAATCGACAAACCCGGTTTTGAAAGGATGACAGTCGACCCCATAAACCCGTGCAATGCACGTGCAAAAATAACAGAATTTATCGGGGAGGGTGACAAAGAAAGTTGAGGACGTGAGAGGGGCAGAATTAGTAGGAGACGAAGGGGTTGCGGAGGCAAGTGGGGTAGTCATGATGACAGAGGAGGAAGGGATGAGACTGTATTGCAGAGAGGGTAGAACAGTCAGATTAGTCCTCGTGTCACTTACTGCTTTGATAAGATCTACACTTGGTCGTACCGAGGTCCAATCTCCTGTTCAGGTTCGTTCCACGGAATCACCTCCTCACTCTTCGGAACTTTCTCAGGCCGGTGAAGTCGTGTCAGTCCGTCCGCATTCCCGTGTCTCTCGTGCTTCTGATGACGAATGTCAAAGTCCATGTTGTGCAGCACCGTTGCCCATCGCCCGATCATGCCCGAGTAATCCTTCGATTTCTTCAGAGCCAACAGGGGCTCGTGATCGGTTACCAAGGTGAACTTTCGCCCGTACAAGTAAGCACGAAAGTGACTGATTCCCCAGAGAGCCGCGTAGCATTCTCCCTTTGGAGCGGCGTAGTTGCGTTTGCAGGCGGGCACCGATTTGGACGCATACTCCACCACACTCTCGAGTTTGCTTGGTCCCACCTGGGCAAGGATCGTCGAAATTGCCTCTGGCTGCCAGTCAGTGATGAAAACAAAAGGCTTTTCGGGATCCGGTCTTATAAGGACCGGAGCCGAAATGAGAGCGGCCTTGAGTTTGGAAAACGCTTGATCGCACTCCGGCGCCCAGATCAACGACTGATCTTTGCGCAACAGATTTGTGAGGGGTCCCGCAATCGCCGCGAAGCCCTTGATAAATCTTCGGTAGTACGAGGCCAAGCCCAGAAAGGTGCGAACTTGCGTGATAGTCGTAGACACCGGCGCATCCCTGACAATTGCCACCTTCTGCGGCTCCGGTTGGAGTCCCTTGTCTGTCACCACGTGTCCCAAGAAGGAAATGGTGGTAAGAAAAAACTGACACTTCTCAAGCGCCACTTTGAAACCTGCATCTCGTAACGCGTGCAGTGCCCATTCGATGTGCTGCACGTGTCCCTCGTAGGAACTCGAGTACACCAAGATGTCATCCATGTACACAATCACGCAGTAGTTGATGATGCTCTGCGCCAAACGGGTCTTTCGCACGAAATTATGAAAAGCCATGTTCATGTCTCGTTAAGAGGTCGCGGGGGCGTTGCAGATACCCATCGGACATCGAATCCACTGCCACGTACCCTCGAAAAGCACAAATGTCATTTTCGGACGATCTTCTTCTCGAACAAGAAGATGATGGAACCCATGGCGAACATCAAACTTGCTGAAAAATCGAGCACTCTCAATCGCATCCAACAACTCATCAATCCGGGGGAGGGGGTACACATCTTTGATCGTGATATGATTCAACTTTAGAAAAACAATGCAAATGCGAATCCCTCCGTCTTTTTTAGACACGATTACTACGGAAAAAGACCAGGGACCTATTGCGGGTTCGATCCATCCATTAGCTTCGAACTCTTTAATCCGCTGAAAAGCGGCCGCTCGTTGAGCTGGCGAGTATCGGTAAGGAACGCAGCTAATGGGTGGGTGGTCTCCCGTGAGAATGGCATGCTCGATCACATTAGTTAAGTCGATGTCATTATCCTGTATGCTCAATACTTTTGCGTAGCCATATAACACAGATTAACGACTTCCGAAGTTCCGTGGGAATGTGACTCGGTAGGGTGATTGTTGATTCCCCGGAAATCTGAAGGGGCATATCGACCCAATCAATCGGCCGTTTCCGCCGATCATAGACACTAGAGAAAACGGAACTACTGGTGCGAACAGAGAAGACAGTTGCTATCATCTGGGACTCAGCGGGGCTAATCATCTCCGTTTCTTTAGTTTCAACATCAGTCTCTGAACCAATTGAGGTCGGTTCCACAGTTAGCCCCGTTAGATCCGTCATTTCTTGCATCAGATCAGGTACATCACTTACTGGTGCTTCCGCCTCCTGTTTAATCAAGGCGATGGTGGCTCCTGTCGTTAGTAACAATCTGGGCGAAAAAGCAGAAACATCCAAATACTGTTCCGTTTGCTGATAACGCGTTCGTAAGGAGAGAGCTCCTTCGTACAAAGTGCGAGGGGGTTCCAAATCATCGGCCAGGTCAGATACTTGTAATATGGGTTCCCCGAGTAGGACTGAAGGACTAACTTCGGTTATTGGAGGCGCAAGCGCGCTGTCTCCTGAATCCACGTAGAAGCTTCGGGCAGTGTCGGGGTATACTTGAAATTCTTCGGGAATTTCGTGTTCAAAAAGTTCGACCAAGTGCTTCCATTCATCTTCGCTAGGCAGCTCTTCTTCGTATTCCTGTTCTTCTACTCCCCTATCGATGTCTGAGGAAGAACAACTCCTCGGGATTAATGTATCGAATCATTCCTATTTGGGCCGAATTAGAAGTCCATTTTATCGTTCGGGTGGAAATTCACAAGGGAACAGTTTGAGGTTTTCCCCCAGTTTGCGTGAGTACTAGTTGTTTTGAATCGAAATGCAGTTGTGCGCCCACCGCCATCGCCCAAGGTAATCCCAACAACACGGAATAGGAACGCACATCTATCACGAGCGCGTTGACGAGGACGTGCACTCGTCCGACCTTTACAACCACATTCTCAATAATGCCTACGATGTTCATTGCTTCCTCGTCGGCTGAGACCTAATTGTCTTTGCCAGATTGAGGAAGAATGGATCCAAGTCGTCCTATCTTTCTGACAGTATCTAATGATATGGCTACTGCAGAAGACCCTGTGTCGATAAGGGCGTTAAACGGTTTGCCCCAAACTTCACAATCACATTCCGCGCTTTTCCACAGTACCGGCCGAGCTTGTACGAAGTGATATTTTTCTGCTAAAGAGATCACTGCTATACGCGCGGCGTCAGGTTCGCCGGCTTCGGGTTCGGGCGGTATAACTTCCTCGCTTCCTTCCTTCTTCTTCAACATTCGCTGTATGCGCTGATAGGTGAAGCGCTTTTGATTTTTCTGGCAATGTTGCAAAAGTTTATCATTAGACGCTTCAGATATGGTGAGCAGATGTCCCACCGGGATCGGAACACGAATATCCAATTGCTTGAGTGCTCTTAATACGTCAATTTGTCCTGTCCGAAACTGCGGACCAGGATTGCATTCACGATCGACCCATTCAAGATCATCGGGGGCCGATCGGATCGCTCCGACCATGCCTGCCAGATGAAGATATTCGAGTGGGTCGACCACGTCAACAGCATCGAAGGAAGAAACTCCTGATATCGACGTCGTTGCCATCGAGGGGGAAGGTTGTTCTGGGACATATGTCACGAGCTCTCCTCCCTGGGCCGTATCCATAAACGCAGCCACTCGTCCTTGATTCAGGGCCACACTGTCGCCACAGGGGCAGCCGCAGGTGGGGGCTGACTACGCTTTGGCTGCGGGCAGTCACGGGCGAAATGTCCGGGCTGTTTGCAGTTAAAACACTCGATTTTTCCTGCTGGATTAGCTGGGTGAGGGAACTGAGGTGCATACCCTGGTGCAGGCGGGGCAGGCAAGAGTGGAAATGACGCGGGAGCAGGCCGAGCAGGGGCCGGGTTAGGCTTGATTAGTCTGCTCATTATCTGTTCCATCCGCTCCATATGAGCGGCCTGCATTTGGATCAAGTTGCTCATCCATTCGGACTGTTTGGTAGTGGCCGTATGGATCATTTGGCCAAGATGTTAGTTGGTTATGGCCGGCGAGGGGGGATCGGGTGAGATTCCGCTTTTAACTGTCGCGATCGGTTGATTCACCGAGGAAGAGGAAGACGAAACAGGCGGAATATCAGAAACGATTCTGTCGGGAATGTCATGGTCGGGGCGGGGATAGAACCGTTCTACCGCTCTCAACCACGATCGCCTTTTAGCCGCTACATCCCGTGTGGTATCCGTAATATCCTCGTCTCCCTGATTGATATGTTTTTTTGTATCAGCCAGTTCCAGTTCCAATGCTTTAGTGATGATAATCGATAGCTGATGTGTCTTCGGCGGGACCTTTTTTTGCAATTTTCCTTTCAACGTCGGACTTCGTAGGTGATCGATGAACAGATCTCGAGCGGACTTCTCGTCTCACCCAGATTTGTCCAATGTGGTTTGAAATCGATCCACGAAATCGGGCAACAATTCCCCTGATCCTTGTGGCCGAGTTTTGAGCACGTACCAGGTGGCATCTTCACTGACCGTATCGAATCGGGCCAAAAAGGCTTGTTTGAAAGTATTCCAATCTACCCACACGTGCTTTCTAAACCAATCATGCGACGTATTGCGAAGTAGCAAGGTAAGAACGCGGGGAAGATCACCCGCGCTGTAGCCTTGAGCTTCGACGGCTTCCAACCAAGCCTCGAGATGGGTATGGTTAGGGAAGAAGGGAAAGGGGGCGGGAATGCTAACCACCACCCTGTTACCGTCCACCATTGGTATAGCTGGTATAACAGCACCAGATATAGATCTGGTCACTGGACGATCTCGGCGAGTGGGTGGGGGACTTCTTCTTCTACCTCTCGCCAGTTCGACTTACTACCATCAGAACCGACACGTGTCGGCTCCGATACCAACCTCACGCCCTGTGCTGTCGTTCGTTCGGAATGCTAGGTGTGCGGAAAGAGGCCCAGAAAAACAGCAGGATGGGATGTGCCAAGGATTTTTGGAAATTGAGTATGGGGACACAGACGGAACTGAAATCCCCCGTGTTGGTCCGATGAAGTAAGTCGGTTGCTTTCGCGCATCGCGGAATGCGCGCGTGGGCACGACGCAAAAAGATAAAAATCCAAAGTCAATCCAAAAAGTATTATCGAGCTTTCCACCGCGCTACGGCCCGTCGTTTAAAGCGGAAGGGCTTCGGCACGCTTCGCGTGTCTTATTTTCGGATCAAATCCCGTCGTCGTTCGCTGGTCAGTTCTGAGTCTCACGTGGATGGTCTCAGCCGTGTGGCTCTTTCTTTATGCTCGTCTTCACTCCGCACACGCTAGTGGAAACCCCTGGATTCGTAGCCCTCAAAACGCTGACATTCGGTGCATAGAGGGCGCAGCCAATGGGGTTCTACTGCCATCCACAGGATGACAATCAACTCGTTGAATTGCAACAATATCGAGTAAGGTAGAAAGTGCGTATCGATAATGACAAACCCAGCCTCTACGAACCCTGAACAACGATTTGTCGGAGGGAAGTAGTACCATCCGCCGATCTGTGCGACAACTTCTCGTACGTCTCACTCGCATACACGTGTCCTTTCCTCGTTGTAAGGAAAAGGCCGTGTTGATACGGGAGGTATGGGAGGCTAACGCTCGATCAGAGGGTGCTTGTCAGTCCACATATCAATTAATTGCAAAAACCTCAAGATGTCATCAAGAAAAAAAAATACTCGTGCAACCCCCAATCAATCCTTTTCGACACGAGAGAGAGAGAAAACACTCATCAGCTTGATCATGCGGCTCGGGTTTAGTGAGCCAACGCGACGTTGATCTGAGGCGCCTTGTTTCTCGGGGCTGTCATGTGGCTCAGGGGCTGTTGTCGTGCAGCATAAGGCAGATGGCATGCGCAGTACATTCACGGCTACGTATCTAAACACTCTTGCATTCTCGAACAAAATCCCAACAACAATCATCTAATCAACGCAAAGAAACGCGGATCTCAATACATTCATTCACTGTGGAAGGTGCGAAAATGAGATATGCGCAGAGACAAAAAGAATGGATCGGAACAATACACACGCATCCACCGTTCACAAGACAAAGAAGACGGGGTTTCTACATAGGGGGACTACCCAAGAAACTAATGGAAGAGTTCTGAAAGAAGTTCTTTCACACAAAGACATTATGCCGACTCATTCCCATTTAAGAGAGAGAGAGAGAGAGAGAGAGAGAGAGAGAGAGAGAGAGAGAGAGAGAGAGAGAGAGAGAGAGAGAGA